TAGTATTTTTATGGTTTCCCGTCTTACGTTTAAGTCTTTTATCCATTTTGAGTTTATTTTTGTGTATGGTGTGAGTTGGTGGTCTAGTTTCATCCTTTTGCATGTATCTGTCCAATTTTCCCAACACCATTTATTGAAAAGACTGTCTTGACTCCATTGTATGCTCTTGCCTCCTTTGTCGAATATTAATTGGGCATAGTGGTTTGGGTCGAAATATTTTTAAATAACTAAAAATTTTGAAAAACAATTTAAAATAACTTGAAAAGCAGTTTTTTTGGGTGGGTGAGAATAACTCACCCAGTATTATTTTGGTATATTTGTCTATCTTTTATATATGTTGTCTAATTTTAGAAAGTAAGGGAAGCCATAATACTTTTAAGATTTTTAGAAAAAAATATTAAACCCCATTTAGTAATTTTGTTGATAATGTGTAGGTAGGGTTAGTAATGAAGAATGATTTTCCCAAGTAGAGTTTGAAGAATCTGGAAGTTTCATCTTTATGAAGTTGGTACCTAAGGAGTAAAATAGAGTGTAGAGAAGCCCAGTTGTTATTTTAAGTATGCATTCTGAAGGTTTCCAGAATGAAGGCTCTTAATCTGTTGAAGTTACATACAAATTTTGTTTGTATATTTTTCTGGGAAGAGAATCCATGAATTCTGATCATCAAAGGGCCTTTTGACTCAAAAAATTAAGAACATCTTCACTAGAGTAAAACTTTGTAAAGTTACATCTTTTTAAAGTGGCTTCACAGCATTTCATATATCTTGTTTTCTTAAATATTAAATATTTAATAATACCTAAATTTTATTTCTTTTTTAATATATCGTTTTTTCCCCCATTTTGCTGCAGGTCTAGGACTAGAGTTACCATTTTAAAAAGTACATGATGATGAAGAAAAAAAAATTAAAAAGTACATAATGACATAAATGTTACTATTTAATTTTCAAACCTTCCTTTCTTCCTAAGTGAATTCTATCATTTATACCATGGTAGAGAAGGAATTTAGTATTTTGTACTACTGGATGTATATGTCAGTTTCATTTATTATAATCTCTGTACCTATATCTCTCCACTTATTAGATGCTTCAACCCTGAATTGGGTTTCAGCTCTGAGGAAATTAGGTGAATAAAAAGAGAGAAAAGGCATGTCTATTTTGTTTCAGGGTTCAAGTCCATTCAGATGAAAATTTAAATGTTCATTCTACCAGGAAGTTTCTTTGTTATGTAACTTTCACTAAATTTTGAGAACCTATAATGCCTGCCTTTTTCCCTCTCTCAATCAGAATAGATAGTAAGACCCAGGCAAAACCCCAGTATTGATAGCTACAAAAGAAGTTTGAGAGGGTGATTCTTGTCACTTGGAAGAGCCCTTCTATGGAAAGCTGCACCTTCGACTGTTCTATATTAATTCTATACAAGTGCCTGTTTTTTACACACAGGGCCACATAATTGGTTTTCCTAATGTTCCTTAAAGAAACCTTTGAAGGAAGTAGGTT